CATTTTGATTGGCTGCTCGATGAATACCACATAGTTCTCTGACATGGCTGCAATAAGAATGTCATATGTTTATACATATATTAAAAAAGATAAAAAGATTTCTTAAATAAATGTTATTCTTTTGAACTTTCATCAAAGAATCCTGAAAAAACATCAAAAATATTAAGCAGCACTGTTTTCAACATTGATAATATTTAAGAAATGTTTCTTGAGCATGAAATCAGCATATTAGAATGATTTCTGATAGATCATGTGACATTGAAGACGGGTAGTGACTGCTGAAAATTGCTTAATTCATTTCAAAATATATTCAAAATAAGCCTTACTTTAAATTGTTATGATATTTCACAATATTACTGTATTTTTGATCAATATAGCCTTGGTGAGCATAAGAGACTTATTTTAAAATATTTAAAAAATCTTACAAACCCCAAATATTTCTATGCAATATTTAAAATATAAATGTATACATTAATTTTATATTTACTTATTTATTTGCAAAAGAGTTTGAAGGCATTGCTCACATACTAAAGCTGTGATAGTAGGATGGTTTAGACTTGTCCTCTGAGGGGATTGAACACACAACTGTGGCTCCTTCCAAGGTATCATTTGGATTCACCTTTTTTGACGGCACCATTATTATATTGTAGAAAGCACCTTAAAAATAAAATTGAAAAAGAATGAGAATTCTTATTTTTCGTTCAACTCGTTAAACACTTTTAGACATTTCTTAAATTCAGTCAGTGTGATTTTTTTTTTAGATTTAAACTGCTGACAAACCTTTTCGAGTGTAAGAGTTGCCATGTTGTATGTAGTTCCATCAGGATCCACATGGGGATGAGCTGTGGCTCCATTAACTGCAACAAATTTACTCCAGTCCACCTAAACACAAAAATTTTCTCATTTCAGCTTGTTCTCCACAGAAACATACTTTATACATTTTTAAAACATAATTACCTTTTCTTTTGTTTCCAGCGTCTGTGGGTCTATTTTGTGCATGAAGTTGGTCTCTGTGCTGACATAGTAGTCTCCTTTATACTGGACAAAGCTCACATTCGCATTGTCACTTGGCTCTGTGGGAAGAGAGAGATGACGTGCTCACATATGCAGAACATATTCGGACCACTTCAATCGGAGCCGAAGATTTCACACTCACTCGGCAGCTCAAAGCGCGAGAGGAAGTGCTGGAAGAAGTTCTTGCATGGGTCTGGCATGGCAATCATGCCAAATTCAGACACCATAATGCGGTTATGCTCAAGGTTTTCCTTGTAGCAATCGCTGGTGAGGAAGCGGCTCATATACGTCACCTTTCCATCCTCAATGTGGAATTGGTGCATAAGCGCCATGCCATCAAACCAGTGGTTGAAACTGAGGAGCAAACACAAACGCTTGTTTATTTGCTTTGATAATTCTGATCTATTGAGTTCTCAAGGAGCCCAGATGATGCTCACCTGCTTCTTCCGATCTCAAACTTCCCAGGTCCATTCCTGAGGAAATTGCCTTTGATCCAAGAGGGGATGTTACCTGTAATTGTAGTTGCGATGGGCTCTGGGGTTTCATCTGCAGAACACACCAGATTCTCAATGCACGGCAGACCAAGAACATCAGTGAAGTGTTGGTCTTTATTCTGTGACCTGGTCTTTTTCCAGCCTGTGGGGGAAAGAAGACTTTTAGATCTGAAGTTTTGTGCACTACGTACATTGAATCTATGATTAGAACGGTAACCTACCAGAAGTGCTGTTGTTCAGATGGTTCACAGAAGACATGCTGGTCTGCTTGTGATGGCTTGTTGTTGAAGATGTTTCAAGAGCTGACCTGGAGACTCCCTTGTCTCCCTCTACTAACTGGACTCTCTTATAAAGAGATCTGTTGGGTCACATGGTGCTTATGCAATACCAAATCACAGACACCAACTGAAGTTGTTTGCTTAGATTATCTTACAGTTGCCTTGACAAGAATGGTATGTTTTTAATTCAGTACAAGGTTGCTCTAAGCTAAAACAACTGAACTAATTAACTAGTTAATTTCTTGGAGTGCTTGAGTGCAACACATTTATATATAAACAAATATAGAAACTGAACATTTGTCACTATACCATTTGATACACAACACAAATATATATTGATATATTTCAATAATATCAGAAGCAGTTAATTATACAGAGCTAGGCATATTTGTGGTGTTATTTTATTAGCAAAATTAATCATTCTAAATCAATCTAATCGTCTGGGAAATTCCGGTCAGCAGCAAATGATGTAACTATATCCTTACTTTAACTCAAACTTAAGAAGGAAAAAAGTAATAACTCTGAAATCTTAATGTTATGGGGGACATTTAAGTGACCTTACCATAAAATCTAATAATCAAACCAGCTACGCTGAACCACAGACTTTCTTTGAATTTAAGTATTCATTATTTCAGTAGCCTACTTCAATATTTATTTTAATATTAAATATATCAATACAAATACCCTGTAGTGTTCACCTAAATTGATTTGAAATATTTTTATACTTTTATTTATATATTATGTTAAAAAAAATCTGCAACTGTTTGTAATATGCATGTATTTGTACGAAATTCAGACTCAAATTCATATGCATCTTAACAGGTTATGAACCAGTATCTACAGCAGATTAAAACTAAAATATACATTCTATGTACTGTACATTGTTTGAAAGTTATTCACAAGCACAAGCATTGAATATTTCAGGGATATTTTAGCTAATTTTGGCATAGCATTATATTGGCTAATTGGCTCTTTACTTCATTAAAATGTCAATTACACTGTAAAAATCATAAATATGTATACATATCTATGGCAAAAAAACATTTTTAACTAATAAATGAAAAATGATTTTTGGGATACGTTTTGCAAGAAAATACTATTTTAGTCATTCTATTTCAAAATTCCACAGTTTAATAACGTGTTGCCGTTTCTTTGTATTTACTAATTGGGAAATGTACTACCAATTTGAGTCAAAATTGTCAGTACATTCAGCAGTACTCCACTTATTATGTGATATTCAGCATAAATGCATTAAATCCATGGATTAAAAGCAAAATGTTAAAAGCAAAGGTCGTAAGGTAAATTGCAATGAAATGTTTAGTGTCTGATTTAGGTCAGGTCAGCTCTTTTTGATAGTTAGATTTAATAGATAGTGTCGTGTAAAAAAAATGTGAGTTTTCGCAGCCTGGACAACAGAAAAATGTCCTTGTCCCATTTTTAGATCAATCACAGATACAGTCATTAAAATGCATTATGCATGGGGCAAAAATAAATAACTCAAACAAAAAAGCGTTAGAACGTTTAAAGGAAATTACACAAAGCCTGCAGAGGAAGATCTTGGTCAAATTTCGTCCTAACATCTCAAGGGGAAAAACAATGTGACATTTCCAATTTATGTAATGTGAACAGTATGCTTATTTGTAATGAATGCAAAAATCTGTGCATGAAATCTTATGCTTTCTGGGAATTTCCCTTAAAAACACGTTCATTGTGAAAAAACAGACTGATATTGTCTCATAGAAATCAATAGTTCAACAAGTCACAGCCTATCCTGTTTAGAAGAGGTTTAATTCTTTCAGGTTAAACAGGTGAGCAGCTTACCTAATGTTCTCACCTTTAGTGTTTTATTGATTTACTGATGTGATCTAGCACGAGTTTGTTCCAAATATCAGTAATCAGTGCATTGTCTGCCTTGTAAGATATATGGTGATTACCTTAAATGGAGTTACGTAAAGTCAGTGACAGTTACTGATTTTGTGATATTGTCCAAACAGAATTTTGTAACATAATTACTGAAAGCTTATCCATCCCAATCTGAGCTGCTAACATTCACTTCCACCTTCAATCAGTCCAGTAGTACCTTGAGCGCATGAACACGTCTCCAAACGTGCATCTGACCTCTTTACCAGCAACTCCTCTGGCTATTGCAGAAAAACAGTACATTCTCGAATCTGACATAAATAAATGGACTAGTATGAAAAATGTATTGACCTTCTGAACAAAAGCAGCATGTATTTAAGTCTGTGCCTGGGAATTTCCAGTGAAGTTATCCAAAATAAAATATTAATCATTTCCCCATGAGGCATTTGGTGCTATAACTAAATACATGGGCTCTTTAAGTTCACAACAGTGCAGCAGCTGCCATAAAATACATCTCCCCTGAGGACACATTCATGGCTATTAAAGACAGTAAAGTGTGTGAGTGTTGAATGTCTCTTTTACATGCATGAAGCCCGTAAGCAGCACATTAAGATCAGGCTTAGAACTGCATAGCTTAACTTAGTTTTCTCTTAAATGACCTCAAAACGGCAACCTCAAATCAAAAAAACATTAATGCAAGGTACCCACAGGATATTTAAACAGTAAATGTTGCTCTACACAGTCATGGATAAATATAGTATCCAATGTCTAACAACAATCAAACAGCACTGAAAAGGTCCAGTTACATACTGTTTTTCCGCCATTGTTAGCATCGTCATGTTGACACCATTTACAAAGCTCACCAGTGACTATCAAGAACTACACTCTATCTATGAATGTTTGCACTGGACATCTGATTTCATTACAGTTTTATAAATACATATTTACAGGTCAAATCTATTCATGGTTGTAACATTATGTGATTCACCTGCAAACCAGATTAGATTTTCTTACATAATATTGTTTGAGTAGTCTTGGACTCCAGTGTTAATAAAAAAGCATATTAAAACAAAACAGTTGTTTAATCTGAATACTGTGATCCTATTTCAAGCTTTAGAACCTTAGCTAGAGGCCTTATCAGCTAGTTTCAGAGAACATGTTTTTAGTTTATAGAACATAAATTTAGTTTTTCCTTAAAGTAGCAATCACCGAGACCCTTGAAATGACATTGAAACTTAAAACTTAGAAAATTTGAGAATTTTAAGATGTGCATTCAGGCATTTAATCTTTCAACTTTGCCTGTTGTAACACAGTACAGTGGAAAATCTTGTTGTGCTCCAAAGAAACCATATAATCCAAAAAAAAAAAGCCTTTATTCTTAAGTGCATAATTGAACCCAAAGCTTCAATCTGCATAGAAATCTAATCATACAGATTACACAAATCTCCATAGCACTTTAAACAGACAAAAGTGCAACCAGACTCTATCATGTCATTTTCAGACATGTATAAGATCATGATAACAGGACTTTCAAAATCTGTCTAAAATGTATTCCGATCAAAGTCATTCAGGAAAAATATCTCTAGAAACCCTTAGATCCACAACTCATATTTTGTCATTTAGATTCAATTTACATCATTACACACACAAGCTGGGATATACCTGTTTTAAATACAAGTAATTTAAAATGAAAGACGTAAATAAATTGCTTTAAATGCAAAGCACATCCAATTACAAATTGCCTTTCATAAACAATTACTTACTTGAGCAGAAATATAGCCATGCAAAGTGTAAAGCCAATTTACTGTCAATGTGACTTGAATTCTCCAGACGTTGTGGTCATTAATGGAGGACTATCAAGGTGCATGTTCAAATACCTGTGTACAGTTAATTCTGCATATGACACAACCAACTTAAGTCAAGATATTGTTTTAACACAATGGCTGACAAAAAGACATTATGCAATAAATACGGTCAAAACATTTATTACCTGATAATTTTCCTGTAAAAATTTTAGCGTATTGATTTTTCAAGTTCAAATACAGTGACCAGCATCTTGTAAGTTGTAGCCACAACAATTAGTTCCTTTTGCTGCATCAGAAACACTTGATTTACCAGACAAGAGAGTGGATGACATGCAGAGGTTTCCATCTTAAGCAGAAGCTAAGCATGTTCTGAACAAACTGACAACATTTAACAATTAAAAACGCTTGCAAATCGACACAATGTTGTCAAAAATTATATATTTATAGAATTGACATATAATGTCACTGTATACAATAAACTGGAACGCTGATGCCGAAAGCGATCCCATCCTCCATCTCAGTCCAGTTATTTACTCCACAAGAGGGCCACAGCTTTACAAATCCCCACGTCATGGTAGTTGAAGTAGCACAGGCCAGCGAAGGTGACGGTCGACAGAAGGAAGAGGCCAGCATTAGCCATCTTGATTTTAAAGTCTCCGTGAACGTAATCTGTCAAAACCTGGCCAAGACCCCTGGAAAACACAAAGTAAAATGCAATGCTGTCCTTTTCCTTTTTTTACAATCCACAAAATAACATCTTATTGCAAAAATCTATACTTTTACAGTATCTGTACTTCCTACACCATTATTAACTATAATAAATGAACATTAAATATAAAAGAAAAGCTCAAATGCAGTAAAACACAGAATATATACTTAAAACATTTGTTTGAAATGTAGTCATGCATATGGTATTTGGTAAAACTTTCTAGATCCAGGCTCAAACATGTTTAAAAGCCAGACTGTTACCACATTTACACCAAATTGAAATAATAAAAATGCAAACTATATGTATGTGTGGCTCTATGTGGCCCCTAATGTAACTAACAAAATTAGAAGTGTGGCCTTGAGTGCCGAAGGTTAAATCCTTGCACGAAGGGTGCAACAGCCACTCATGACTTGGCTTTACAGACCAAAGCAGTCACCTTCATTTCATGTCAGAAACTATTTTTAATGGTATAGTGCAACGCTCAATTGAATCTGACCCATCAGTTACTAAATTGCAGAGTTGAAAGTTCATATGGAATTACAACAGTCACATACTAAATATTAACAACTGACTGTGGCAACATTTACTGATAATTTATCTAAATTGTTCTCAACAGCTTTCCATAATTCAAAAAAAAAAAAGCAACACAAAAAATTAACAGCAAAGGACCATTTCATTTTGAATATGTCAAGCACTGATTATAAAACACATTCTCTTACCAGTGACCATGTAGAGTAAGTGCAGCTGCTAAAGTGTAGTCAACAGCAGGGCCGGGGTAATAGTATGCAACGGGTGCCAAACCCAGAAGAACTATGCTCAGGATCCGCTCTCCTGTCCAGTGCAGAGAAGCGGCTTTGGACCCAGAGCCCGCTATTAAATGAAACAGTAACACATCAACACATAACAAAATTATAGGAATAGACAAAAAGCTCTGTATTGATTTACAATGTTAAAACACACACAATCTAAATCACTAACCATAGTTGGATGGAGTTGCATGGATCTTTGCTGATATCGAGTATGGACAATCACGATCCTTCTTCTGTACGGCCAAAGGTCTGATGAGGGAGGAAGAGCGAAATAACAGAGCTGTGGAAAGTGACAATAATGAACATTACAAGGAAATATACGTAATTAAAAGGAAAAAGGTAATTACTCAGAATTAAAATTTCACGCAATTTGATCTGTGACGAATGAGGTCACTGATGATGGATGTTCATACAATGCTTATAAATCATTTAAAAACACCCCACATAAAGTGATAAATTACGAGAATATAACTTTTACTTTGAGCCTTTACAAATACTTTTTATAAACAGACACATTATGATACACTAATAAAATCCACGTCATCTTCCTAGTCTCAGTCTTACTGTGTACGTTATTGCGTTTACCAGCACTTTAACATAAATATAATAAAGTTAATTGGTTAATTTAGAGAAAGAGAAGAGAGACAGAGCTGATAAATATATTAAAAGACAGGGTTCCGTTAGCGTGCTAGCTATTCAGTCCAAGTACGCTTGCTGCGATTAACATGAAACGTCATTGGAGAATGATTTCTTTTACACACGACCTTGAAGCTAAACAACTGTAATACAGGATGAGGTGCCGAGAAGAAAAGCATGAAAACACTCAAACTTACGGCTGACACCTCTGTGGCAAACAGAACTTATCCTGACAAGAGCCGCCATGATTCTCACAACCAACCCAAGGTCACTGGAATCACCCGGATGTACTAATGCTGCCAGTGACCGGGGTGATGAAATTAACCTTTACATGTCAAATATGCTAATAAAAATCGATTAAAATATGTATACTAGAATACTTGATTTTAATATAGTACATCTCATCGAGTTAGTGTTTTAAGCATCTGGGCAGTACCAATTTAAATATATTTGAAACAATATTTCATGTATGAACTGATGTGTGGATGTTCTTTAAACTTACTCAACTTATATTCGGATCAGTCATTAAAGCTCGGTAAACACTGGTCACAGACACGGAGATGTCCCTTTGATTTCACCAAACTTATGGTGAAATTTAAGAAAAAAACATTGAAAGGCCATTGAAAGTTTTAATTGGACGTGACAAAGTGGTGATATCCAGTGGGTGAGTTGTTTAGCTACTTACATTATAGTCTTCCCATTAACGTCATCTTTTTTTTCATACTGAATATATACAGTATAAACAGAGGATGTATTGTATTAGATGTGTTAGTGTTATTCATTACTTTTTTAAAATGGATGTTTTACAAATTGTATCACATATAATAACAAGACAAAATATTTTAACAAATACCCAATTTTAATAATCTATGTAGGCCTAACATTTTAACATTTCACTTAACTTGTAAATATATAACAAAAGGTATGTAAATATAATTTCATTTCCGTTGAAGAAAATATATATTATTAATGCTGTTAATAATAAAATAGTCTGTAAATACAGTGCTAGAATATTCAGTAAGGTAATACCATGTCAGTAATCTAAAATAAAATAAAATAAAATAAAAAATATACTGAATAAATGTCAAGTTTTTTTTTTTGTAGTCTAGTTGCATTATTACATGATATGTTTACAGTTAGCAATAGAATTCAGGTTAATAAATAATGATACATTGTACTGAGTGTCATGATTCTTGCATAACTGCTTAGAAGATCACTAGCATCTTAAATTTACATACAATTTAATAAAATATCAAACAACTCCAAAATGCCAACCACATCCCTCAACTTAATCTACTCATTTACTCCACAAAAATCTAAGTATTTTTTTTTATTTTTTTTTTACAATTGGTATTTGACACATAGTATCATGGCAGTGGAAGTAACAAAGTCTGGCAAAGGTGATGGCTGACAGAGTGCTGTGATATCCATTGTTTCATATTTTGACGTCTCTGAGAGTGTAGTCGGTCAAAACCTGGTAAAGAAAGAGCACAAGAGGGTTACATTTCAAATTAGGCAACTATATGGTTTTCAAAATGTCTTTAGTGTATTATTAAACACACCGTCATGCTTTGTTTCCTACTTTGCATTATTTATTTTATCTGCAGCTCGCAGAGCAGATCTGCAGCTCTCAGAGCAGATTTCATGGCGGTCTCAATCCAGGCATGAGGTCTGGCCGTGTGCTCTCCTGCAAAGTAAATCCTCCCCTCATTCTGGACTATAGACTTACTATAGTCTCTCATCTGGAATGGAGTGAAGATGGCAAAGGCGCCATGGCTGTAAGCATCCAGTCCCCACTTTTTCACAACACCCCCAGTGTAGAGCTGGCGGATGTGTTCTCCATGGATCTTCACCAGGTCATTCAATACCAGATACTTCAACTCATCTTCATTTATAGTCTGTAGGAATGCAGCTTCATCAGAGGAGGTGTAAGAAGCCAACACAGCGCCCCCTGATATCCCAGAGAAATTATGACTGGGGTAGTGGATGAAACGTGATGGCAGATCTGTGATGCTTTTCCCACCCCGGATGCCATCATTCTCCCAGAACTTTTTGCTGAAACTCAGCACTACTTTTGTGGAGCAGGAATAGTGCAGCGACCGCAGTGCTTCCATCTTTTCGGCCGACAAAGGAGGCTTAAAGTCAATGAGGAGCGTTGCTTTGGCTGTGGCCGTCACCAACACATAATCGGCAGTAATGCTGGTCAGGATGCCGTGGTTATGACGGTCTTCATATGAAACTGTCACGTTGTTCTGCATTTGACTGATGGCCTGGACTTTTGAGTGTGTAAGAATTGTGGCATTTAGCACAGTGTACAATGCATTAGGGAATGATTCAAAGCCGCCTTTAAATTCAGAATACCTGAAAAAGAGATGTAGATATTTTGATTATGTTTGACATCATTTTGTTATTTTAGCTGATATGTACTACCGTACATATCTAGTAAAATCACTAGTATGATTTTAAAAAAGAAAAGAAAAAGAAATTAGTACTTTCATTTAGCAAGGATGCATTAAATTGATTAAAAATAACAGTAAATGCATGCTGAAAAAATTCAGGAAAAAATCCTGTCATGATTGTCATGATAATTTGAAAAAAATTAAGCAGCATACCTGTTTTTAACATTGAATGCTTCTTGAGCATCAAATCAGCATATTAGAATAATTTCTGAAGGATCATGTGACACTGAAGGCTGGAGTAATAATGCTGAAAATTCAACTTTGCCATCACAGGAATAAATAACATTTTAAAATATATCCAAATATTTGCAATAATATTTCACAATATTAGTGTTTTTTTACTGTATTTTGATCAAATAAATGCAGCCTTGGTGAGTGAAAGTGAAAAAGTGACGTGACATGTGGCCAAGTATGGTGACCCATACTTGGAATTAGTGCTCTGCATTTATCCCATCCAAAGTGCACACACACAGCAGTGAACACACACACACCGTGAACACACACCCGGAGCAGTGGGCAGCCATTTATGCTGCGGCGCCCGGGGAGCAGTTGGGGGTTCGGTGCCTTGCTCAAGGGCACCTCAGTCGTGGTATTGAAGGTGGAGAGAGCGCTGTACATTCACTCCCCCCACCTACAATCCCTGCCGGTACGAGACTCGAACCCACAACCTTTGGGTTACGAGTCCGACTCTCTAACCATTAGGCCACGACTTCCCCGAGTGAGTGTAAGAGACTTCATTAAAAACATTTAAAAATCCCAAACAGTTGACTGGTACTATAGAGGATATAAGATTGGGTTAAACGTAATATCTCACGTGTCATTGTCATTTATATCACACTGGATGTAGAGCATCTCCGTGATGGCAGTGTAGAAGAAGCTGTTCTCATTCAGGATATCACCAATCATTCGCAAAGCTCCTCTGCTCAGATTTCCCACGTTAACTAAATACTCCTGTTACAGATTGGATTTAGAGACATCCTGCCATTAGTACTCATATTTAGACTTAAATACATTTTTAAAGCTTATTATAAATGCTAATTAAATCTGATGACATATTACAGACATTTTACCTTAACTGAGTATGAATCATATTTGTTCAACGTTTTCTCACAGCCCATTTTCTGCAGATCATCTTTTAACTAATAAAGATCCAAGAAAGAAAGGAACAATAAAATATATTAGCAAATAAATCATAAAAGCAAGATAAGGGGAAAAGTTTTGTTATAACAGTATTACATTGTTAATGAATTCATTATTGAATTATTCTAAATTATTCTGACTTCATTAGTAAATAACCTTATTCATTCTCCTTTTAAATAAACATTTGGCTGGCCAGATACATAAACCTTTTGAATAAACTGAAAATGTTGTCTTTTCACTCACCTTGCCCAAAGCCGTGTCAAACAGTTCTCTGGCACTTTTCCCCTTCTCACAGTCATACACAGGGTAGTTCAGAATGTCTGGGTTCTGCTTTACGGTGTAGGTTTTATAACGAAATCCATTTATAAAATAGTAAGTGTTTTCATCGTCCTGTATGAAGCTTCCAAACTCCAGGCCCAGCTTTTGTGCAAAATGCCTAAGAATCCTTGAAAGTGATATAATTGAAAACAAGTTGATTAAATGGATAGTTCACTAAAAATTAAAATTGAAGAAATTGTTGAATTAAGTTGTATTTTTTTTTTCTTTGTGCACAAAAAGTATTCTCGTAGCTTCATAACATTACGGTTGAACCACTCACTATGTTTCCATCACCCTTTTTTAATGCGCATTTTGAAGTATCGCATGAGAAACGAGTGATGGAAACACCAAATTTAGAATAAAAATCCCTTAATTCGCAAAAATGTTTTTACGCTCGCTTGAGGTGGTTTTTGACTTGTGCGAAAAAGGGTTGAAGCGAAAAATGGGACATGGAAATACATTTTGCAAATAAATTCCTCCAAGCGCATCAGAAAAGTAATGTGACTTTGCGCTATGGGACGGCAAAACCTGACTAACCAGCGGACCGATCTCATTCCACAGCATCTGAAATGTTGTTATGGTCCATTCGGAAATGCACGAGCAAAGTCTGTCAAGTATTTCTGTATAATTGCCTCCTAGAAATGTCTTAGACGACTGCGTTCCCAAACAGCAGCATCCACCTTTGAAAGCAATGACCGCATTCATTGTGTTTCATCTGCTCGCTCTGAGGCGCAAGTAATTTATTGTATATGAAAGTTATTATATTCTCCTACTTTTCTTAGTGATTTCTAGTGCCAGTTCATCAGGAAGTGACGATTTTGTTCTCTTTGACTTGTTGGATGGAAACTATGCTTGTTCTCAAATGTTTTATGCGATATTCCATTTTTGCGCATAAGTTAAATTCGCAACTTTGGATGGAAACCAGGTTACTGATGTCACATGGACTATTTTAACGATGTCCTTACTACCTTTCTGGGCCTTGAACATGTCAGTTGCGTTGCTGTCTATGCAGAAAAGCTCTTGGATTTCATCAAAAATATAATTTGTGTTACGAAAATGAACGAAGGTCTTACAGGTTTGGAATGACATGAGGGCGAGTAATTAATGACAGAATTGTGATATTTGAGTAAACTATCCCTTTAAGTTGTGGCCTGCCCTTCCACCTTCTGACCACCAGGGGTCATTGTCACTTGAGCAGAAGTTTTGATTTTCAGTTTCACATTTTGGATTTCCTGTTATTCATTATGAATTACACTATCAAATAAATCTCTGCACTTTTATCTTTACTCTCAGCTGATTGCGATACACTAATTTCACACTAAGTATTGTACTGTCTACCCTCAGAAAGTTACATGAGGTGAATATGAAATAGA